AGCAGAAATGTGGTGTTTAATGAAACTGATTTTCCTTGCTTGACCAAGTCTGTTTCCGAACCTGAGTCTAGGTCTGATAGTACTCCTAGTGAGGTGGAGTATGTCCCTGTTGCTGCTAGTCCTTTGTCTGTCGATCCTGTTATTACTGGTGATATTGTTATGCATGATTCTGATTCCTCTGAGCATGATAGTCCCACCACCTCGAGTGAGGTGGAGCATTTGCATGATACTGAGCATGATTTGCTGAATCTGATTTTCATGATTACAATAATTTGCATGATTATCAACTTGCTAGAGATAGGAGTAGAAGAGCTATCAGGAGAACTGCTGATAGTATGCCTGATTATGCTTTCATTGTGCATGATACTTCTATGTTTGCATTTTCTGTGTTTGAATCCCTAGAGCTGAATGAACCCAAGACTTACCGTGAAGTCTTAGGTTCCAAAGAGTCTCAGAAATGGATTAATGCCATGAAAAGTGAGATGGACTCTTTGAGAGTGAATCAGACTTGGACCCTTGTACCTAGACCCCCAACTGTTCTGTAGTTGAGTGTAAGTGGTTGTTTAAGGTTAAGGAAGAACCTAGTGATGTTAGGTTTAAGGCTAGGTTGGTTGCGAAAGGGTTTACTCAAAAAGAGGGGGTAGATTATGCAGAAATCTTTGCTCCTGTTGTTAAATTCACCACTATTTGTATGATGCTTACTTTAGTTGCTCACCATGACTGGGAAATGAAACAAATGGATGTAACTACTCCTTTTTTGCATGGTGAATTGGATAAAACAGTTTATATGACCCAGCCTGAGGGCTTTGTGGATCCCAAGAGAAGTGAGCATGTCTGTTTGCTTAGGAAGACTTTGTATGGCATGAAGCAATCCCCTAGGCAGTGGAACATCAAATTTGATAAATGCATGATATCTTTGAAGTTCCAAAAATATGTTTGTGATCATTGCCTGTATTTCAAAAATACTTTTTCTGTGCCTGTATTTTTGTTACTCTATGTGGATGACATGCTGATCATTAGTCCTTCTCTGAATGCTATTAAAGATGTGCAAAAATGTCGTTGTGCGAATTTTGCCATGAAAGACTTAGGTGATGCCAAAAGGATCCTAGGCATAAACATTGTTACGGATAGGAGTAAGCGTACTCTTACTTTGAATCAGATTTCTTACATAGAAAAAGTTTTGAGTAAATTCAATATGTTATCTGCTTCTCCTGTTAATGTCCCTATGGCATCTCACTTTGTGTCAAATAAGGACCAGTCCCCCAAGACTGCTCCTGAAATTGAGAAAATGAAATTTGTGTCATATTCCAGCGCAATAGAGTCGGTGATGTATCTTATGGTTAGCACTAGACCTGATATTGCATATGCGGTTAGTTGCTTGAGTAGATATATGTCCAACCCTAGTTTGCCCCATTGGAATGCTCTTAAGTGGTTGCTTAGATATCTGATTTCTACTGTGAAGTATGGATTAATTTTCTCTAAATGTGCTAGTGGTATTGAATTGATTGGTTATGTTGATTCTAACTATGCAAATGATAGAGATAACAGGAAGTCGACCACTTCTTATGTTTTTACTTTGTGTGGCTCTTGCATTAGTTGGAAGTCTCAACTACAGCCTATTGTGGCCCTTTCTACCACTGAGTCCGAGTATGTTGCAGTCACAGAAGCGTTTAAAGAAGCCATCTGGTTCAAACGCCTTGTCTCCGAAATTGGGTTTCTCAAAAAGGGAGTTACCATTTTCTCGGATAGCCAATTTGCTATCCAACTTTGCAAAAATCCTATATTTCATGATAGAACTAAGCATATTGATGTTAGGTTCCATTTCATACCTGATATTGTTGATGCATGTGAAGTCAAGCTGTGCAAGATCCCGTCCGAGTTTAACCCCGCGGATATGGGTACCAAGTGTCTTTCTGCTGAGAAGCACTTGTCCTGTAAACACGTGTTAAACTTTGACTGTGGATAATTGTGGGTTGCGTAATAAAGTGTTTGCTCGTTTTGTCTTTTGATATTCCGGGTGACCCGGCGATGATGAGTCTTGTCACAACCTTGTATTGTTACTCTACACCACTTAGGACCAATAAGGTGGAGAATGTTGGAGGTATTGGTCCTAGTGTCCTACCAAGGCCTCCCTTCCACTTTATTAGCTGAGGCTTGCATCCTATTAATTTACTCCCTCTTTGACACATTTACCTTGGTATATTACCTGATCAATTATATACTTGGATTGCTACCCCATTGCTTCTGTCCGCTGCACCCTGTTTTTTGGCTTAGCTTATACCCGTGAGTGTCCTTATCATCTTGTGACTGTCCTTGTTGTCTGCCCATAGGCTGGCAGCCTACTATAAGTCAACACTCCCCCCTTCTATGTGAGATAAGCCTGCGTGAGAAACAAACTGAGAGCAGTGTCTTCCTTCTTCCTCTTTGTGAGTTCCTTTGTGGTTAGAAGAAGAGAGTAAAGAGAATAGGTGTGCTATAGCTTCCCCTAGAGTGGTGTATGTGAGTAGTGTGTAGAAAGACCTGAGCCGGAGACGAAAGTAAAAGATCCTTACACCAACAACGTATCAAAGGCTTTTCTTATTTGATGGTCATCTTTAGCTTCTTAAATGATGCATTTGAAGAGATCATGCCAACGGATGCTGTAGCTATCAAATTAACCACAAACACAAGGACTGTTTTTGTTTTGAGATGATTTTATGTTTAAAACAATAATGTTATTGTTTTACAAATAAAGATTAAAAATTCAAAGTTGCAGCATTACTTTCCGGCTCGATCATTTATTTACAATTTCTACCGCTGACCTATATTGCATATACCTGTCGAAGTATTTGAAGAAAAAAAATCCTCTTACCAGTTGTTGGCTATTATCTAACAATTCATTGACCATTGTATTATAGGAAGAAGCTCTTGCTTGAGTCGGGCTGATTTTTCTTCTCAAGCGTGGGCACGACATTGAGCGAAGTTGCATATGCCGGTAGATATAAATTTATAGGCCAATAGGAATTCGAAAAGTCAAGCTTTATTAAGTTAAGTACTCTTTAATTGTCAGCAGCAAAATGACCGGGCAGCTCACTTTTGAGAATTTCAAAAGCCACAAATGCTTGGCAACTTATTTATTACTCCTGTTCGTATATGTCTAGTAGTTCTCGAAATTGTATTTGCACAACAAACCATTAATACGGTTGTTTACTCTAGCTTCTCGATCACATGACTTTCCAACTTATTTGCTTGCAATACTACTCCCAAAATGAGTGTGCCCACCAAAACTCCCCACACTTTTCAGGAGTTATTTCCCGGGAAGGGGTACTTTGTAATCTTATTTCCCAAACTAGGGTAGTTTAAAACTTAATTCCCAAATAGTGGTATTTTTGCCCTATCATCGTGCCATGTCAGTGCCTGAATTGAACTCAATTTCCAGGTCATACGTCCACATCATCACATGTACATGTCTTTTTTAAAATACGTCCACATTTCTAAAAGTCAAAGTGTTGCATTTATTTAAGAACGGAGGTAGTATATAGATATAGATATAGATATATAGGTATAAATTTTTTAAGATCTCACTTCCCTAACCCCTCATTATTTCGGACTCCGCCACTCTTGTTGTGTGATCTTCCCAATTCACGATCATTTATCTCGCATATATACGTACTATTGTTTTAGAAATGGATTCAAAATATTAAAAGAGACGATCGAAACTTTTTATATTGTTATAGTGACAACAAAATAGTCAAACCCCAGTGTGACATTACATCTTCAAAAGTATAAAATGACAAATATGACGTGCTACATATCAACATATACAGGGCCGTTTTTTAGGGGGTTTATTAGTAATTATATTAATATTAATATAGATACATCATTTTTTCGTTAGTCATTTTACTCTTTTAGTTTTCTTTTAATGAGTATTCCATTGATTTGAGTATAAATATTTCGATTGAGATTTTTTAATAATTTTTTATATTAATTTGGGGCCCCGCTTTTACATTTTGAACCAGGGCCTCCAAATTCATTAGACGGCCCTGAACATATACATTGCTATTCAGATTGGTAACAATGACACTTTCAATTGGACGTTTACGGGATATTCAAATAAACATTTTACACTGAAAATACTTATTAGAAAAGGTTAGGATAATACGGAGTATTACGTACTAGTAAAAAAAAACCTTATTCCGTCCCTCAAAAGTTTGTCATCTTTCGAATTCTTTTATGGAATGTCCCAAAAAAATTGTCATTTTCCCTTTTAATCAATTATTTTGTAGTTTCTGTTATTTCTTTTTCCTTTGCACAAATCTCAATCACACAGTTCTATTTTATTATTCTCCGTACCGGTCAGCTTTGACAAAGTTTTAAGGGACAGAGGTCAGAGGTAGTACTTGTCACACTGAACATAAATTTGGGAAAGTTGAGAGACAAAATTAGTAAAATTGTAGTTAGAACAGAGACAAGATTAAACGAGAATTAGAACGAAGAAATAAGATTAAACGAGAATTAGTCGAAAAAATGGAAGAAGGTAATTCTGAGAAAGAAGAAAATATTTTGGGATAGAATCTAGAAGATAACGATGAGGATGAAGAATTATCTTTGCTTACTGGGATTATTATGGGCGTAATTCGCTAATCCGGAAACGACAACTAGCGAAGCGGACGACGTGTACTAAGTTACAAGACCAGATCTAGTATTGATTTGGCGGTGGTACACGACGGCGGGCGGTGGGTCCCGGAGATGGAGTGGCGCGCGATTCAATTAATTACGAAGTTGGCTTCGCAGCCACGCCGCGAACCAGCGACCGCACACGTGTTCACTTCTTACCCACGTGCTTTGTATGAACCTCCCACGTGTGTATTCACCCATGCCATTACATCGTCGGCGAACCAAATCGATCATCCACGTGACACTGTACGTATGGCCACCTCAACTCATCGTATATATACTAAATTTAATACCATACGGAGTGTCAGAATAAAAGTCATGAAACAGAGACTACTATATATAGCTCGCCCGCGCCATTGATCCGATTGGATGGGAATGATTCTACATATATGGTGCATATATACACGCATATACATACAACATACATACAAAGAAGTTTATAACATAATGGGAGGAAGAAGGGGAGGAGGAGGAAGGCCGTCGTGGCCGGCGCCGCTAGACAGGAAATCGTCGATAGAGAGTGAACCGCCCACGCTCAGTGGCGACCAAATCCAAGTCGCTCGGGTACGGTATAATAATGTGGAAAATTAGCTTTGCAACGCCCATTTATACCTATACGTATTATACTATACCGATCTCACGTTTGACTTATGTCTTTGATTTTGATCACTGATCTGTCATACTATACGGAGTTGTGCAACATTATTTCATCTTCTATTTTTACTATGTTTTATTTGTTAATGTACTAATATTTTTTAAATAAGAGAAAAATAATTAAAATACCTCAAACTTTGAATAGTGTGAGGTAAATACCTCAAACTTGCATATGTAATTTAAATAACTCAAACTTTATATAAAAAGTTATTTTAGCACCGGTCATACATTATTTCTTTCAAAAATGTCGATTTTTTGTGTTAATTTCATAATTCAAAATAATTTAGCATTCATGAATTGAAGATACAATTAGCATTCTAATTTTCTAAATTCCCATTGTAAAATAAATATTATTACCTCCACTCTATATAAATTTTAATTTCCTTTTTTAAAATTTGAAATTAACACCATAAATCTATATTTTTGAAAGAAATAATTTATGACCAAGGTGCTAAAATAATTTTTTATATAAAGTCTGGGGTATTTAAATTACATATGAAAGTTTGGGGTGTTTATCTCACACTTCTTCAAAGTTTGGGGTATTGATATTATTTTCCCCTTTTCATAAAGAAAACTTGTCTTCTAAATTTTCTGAATGTGATATATTTTTTTTTTTTAATAATAGATATTTTAATACATTAATAGTCAAAGTTGAGTTGTGCATTAATATATAAATGTGAAAATTTGATGCCTAATATTTCCTGAAAAGTTATAGATTGACAAGAAATAATGGTCATATACGGAGTATAAAAGTGGTGAAGTTAAGGATATGATCAAATTATGTAAGAAATTGACCATCAGCTAGTAGGGCCGGCCCTAATATATACTACGTATACAAGGCCTTCAAAATTGAACTGAAGGCCCTGAAGTATAAACACAATATTAATACTAGTATGCTACCTTTGTTCTTAAATAATAGTCTCCTTAAGTTTTTTGTGATTTTAAAGAAGGAAATAGTAGGGATAGTATAGAAGTGTATGGTAGTGGAGAAAGTAAGAAAGTGAATATATTAAGAAGAGTAAAGTAATAATTATAAAGTGGGAAAGAGAAAGTAGTATGCAAGCTCATTCCAAACTGCATAATAAAGAAATTGCACAATCGTAATTAACAACTGCATGCATTTTAATTACATATAAATATTTCATAGTACTACGTACTATTTAATGTTTGTATTACAATTGCATTTTCATTACATATAAATATTACTACGTACATAGTATTCCCTACTATTTAATGTTTGTATTTAAAAAAAAAAATAATCTACGCCCTAATCTACGCCCTATCAGCTAGGAGGATAAAAAGTAGAATTAACTCGGGATCGGGATTGAAGGGGTCAAAATATATTGGGATTAATTTTATGTTACGTTGCAAGTTTGAATTAGTTGGTGCATATTAATTAATTATAAGCTTTTCTTCTTTGGGTGTTGAAAATATATAAATGTATTTTAAAGGAGGCAGCACTTTGTGTGATGAACAATGCAAGTGTGGAAGAAGCTGCAAGAATTTTCACCGAGGTACATCGTTACATACATTCATGATGCATATATGCTTTATTGCTTTTGACATGTTAAACTACAATAATGCGTTTGTTCTCCCTCTCTTTTCAGTTTTTGAAATATCACTGTTTTTACCTCAAAGTTTTAAAATACGAAGTATATAACCTTTCTTACAAGGGTGCCGTAAGAATACTACTACGTACTTGCTAGTTACAACCCTTCACTCTACCTTTATACGGAATATATGAATGTTTTTATGGTATATAGTTAATTAGTTATATAACCTACCGTGCTAGCTAGATATATAGAAGGCAAATGAATAGCTTGTATTATGCTTAGATAAATCATACTCCGTATTTTCTTGATCCTACAAAGATTTCTACAAAAATGTATGCATTTTTTGCTACATTTTTTGCTAATTCACTATCAAAAAACACGGGATTGTCAGGGATTTTGACACGTATTATGTCAAATCAGTGCCCAAAACACTTTGGCACGAGCTATTTGGCATGAAACATCGGTAGTCGGTGCCAAATCCCGTGTTTTTTTTGTATTGATTATAACCTTTGTTTAGCATACTTTTTATTGAATGACAAAGGTTTTCTATCCCATAAATGGATTTCACACTAAAAAATGTACTGAAGAAATGTGGGAAAAAATGCACACTTAACTTTGTTGTTTTCTACAAGGTCATTTGCTATCAATATATTGGTAAACGAGTTAAAAAAAATGAAGTGTTTGTTTAGTAACGCGGATATATTTGAAATATATTTCATTAATCAAAGAGAGAAATATGAAAAATAGTTAAAATGATCATATATTGTAACTTGAACCAAATCAATCGAAAAAGTAACATCAATCTTACATAATCAAGAAATCAAATTTGATTCTTGATCTTTCATCCACTTTTAATTTGCAATTTATGTAGAATGAGACAGGTAAATATTTGTCATTCAACGGGAGTATGGGAGCACTCACTATGTGACTTACAAGCTTTTTCTGAACAACAAAAATTATTGTTTTCGATCCGATTTATTGAGAACTTGTCAAAGTCTTACTTGATCTAATGTATTTAAACATATACTCCGTATGTATATCTTATCTAGTTTATTTGAGTCGGGTATAAATTCATATTTCAAATCTGTTTATGTTGGACCAAATTTGTTGAAACCCGGTTTTGTTAGCTTAATATTATGTGAATGAGAACAAATGATCTTTGTACTGTTCAATTAGAAACAAAAAGATTATCGACCAAAGTAATACCTTTATATTTTGTTAACCAAAATTAGAACAAAATATAATTTTTTACTATATTGATTTCATCCGAAGTGTTGTACAACAAAAGGGAAAAGCAAAGATTTACATTCGTAGTACGGAGTATAAAAGATAAATGATTGTTCGGTGAAGCCACCTACTCCTTCGAAATAAGAATTGAAAATTGTCATTCATCATTGTTTGATCAAGCGATTTTGTGTTTTAATGTAACTTCCAAAATCATATGATTTATTTTTCTACTATTTTGTTTTTTGTCGGCCAAGCACTTCATTTCTCTCATATTCAAATACATTTTCCTTTTCTATGGGTCAGTTAATCAGTAGAAACTTATTCTGCAGCTATCTACAACTAACAAAGTAACAAGTACTAATTTCTATCTTATACTCCGTATAAACTAGATGCGGCTGAACTCAAGGAATAGTATGGACATCATATATGTAATTTCTTTGGTGCATGTGGGCAAATGCTTGTGTGCAGGGATTAGAAGCAGTAGTTAGTTGTGTACATGATGATGATTATGGCGGCAAGAAGCGAACAAGAACATTCATTTTCGACTATAGAGATGACGGTGAACAAAAAGGCCACCCCCGTGCCCACGCTCCAATTGCATCAGCCCATCCCTTTAGAGACATCGCAACTGCACCTTTCTAATTTGGTTGTTCTTCATATGAATATGATTATACATAGTATGTACGGAGTAGAAAGTAGTAACAAAGAGGTAAGGCCCTAATGTGCACTCTTTGTCATTTGGACACTACCTGAATCGAAGCTGACCATAACTTGGAACTGAACTGGTCAGTCGATATCAAACCTAAAGTAGGACCAGACAAAACTATAAATTGTGGAGAACTGTTTTGTTAGTAATCTATATGATCACAGGTAGGAGAATTCGCAACCGAGCCAATCAGTTAAATTCAACAATCAATCAAAGCTACATCCTACTAGCATCTTCGATCAGCAATTGTTTCGATTTTCTTTTATCGAACTCATGCAATTTGATTATGATTCTATACTCCAGGAGTCCAGGTGACACACCATGGATTAGAACTCACAAAGCAAGAAAAAATAATCATAATGTTTATTAGACAACCTATAAACCATAGAGTGAGCTATTATAAACACAGCAGAAAAGTCGATAATTATGCACTAGAAATCAACTTCATCATCCAATACATCGTCAAACTTGTCAATAATAGTAGATGAATAAATGAACAAATTTAGCACATCCACCATCAAAAATCAATTGTTTCCATCATCGGAGAGTAAAGAAAACAGATGTGGATGTGCAGTGCGCTATAGAGATGAATAACACAACTGGCTTAATGTGCCTTGGTTCTACACATCCAGAAAATTTGAGAGGGTATGAGCAGTGAGCTGCATTTTAAGGCCTTCTCAGCAGTCTAAAACTCAGTTAACTTGCGCCTTTTAGATGTATATTCCTCTTTAGGGAGATCACTGTTTTGGGCTGAAGCTATATGGAGGAAAACTGCAGCCAGGAAAGTTGCTTTCGTCAATGAAAGAGTTGTATGACGGAAAATAATCTGTGAGCATTTCACTGTGAGTAGTATCATCATAATTTTGTGACATGAACAATGGTTTCATCAGATCATCTAGCTCCATATAATTAGCATTCATCAAGTGGGTATCAGGATGTGCAAGATTATGATTACTGGTGCCCTCCGGTGCTTGAATATTATTATGAGGATGCCCACCACCAGCAGGGGCCCAAAATCCAGGGAAACAAATGCTCTCTTCTTCACAGCCATCCAAACCTCCTGATAGGCTATTACACGTATCAAAAGGAATATCAGAGAGATCCAGCCCACCCGCAGTACCATCCTGCAGAGGCATTGCGGTGTTTGCAGGACGCTCAACAGGTGCTGCCGCTGCCCAACTTCCAGAGATATTCATTATGCTCTCATCCAATCCTGCAAACAAGTCATCAAACTTCCCGTATCCATCACACAGTTCTTCTCTCACATTGCATTGTTCTATCCCAGCACCTCTTGCTTGCCCCATACTACTAAAATCCTGTAGACAGCAGGATGACAGAAGATACACAATCAATATTTAATGAAATATGTGCCACACAAAAAAAACATCAGACTTCTAGGCACAACCATCAGAAAATTGTTCAAACACAAACTTAACCTTTCTAAGGTCATTAGTACATTCCACTTCATATCAATAGATTCCAAGTAGAAGAAACAAAACACACGTGCAATGAAACGACCTACCATCAGCTAAGGGAAAACGACTGTACCTCTAACATCCACCAGACAAATATGTCTTAAAATCTTAACATCAAAATCACCCAAAGGTAGATAGTTTTTGGTTTAGCTATACTACTTTTTGCTAACCCTAGTGTTGTGTTCAAATAAGAGACTACTAAGTGTCAAAGCTCCATGCAATCACTGTTTACATCACACTAAAAACAGAACATAAGCAGTCTGAAACATAGTTGAGATTATGAAGTGGACGGGAGAATGAGAGACCAACATTTGATACCTGAAGCAGTTTAACATGTTTGATGGGTACAATTGTGTAATGTACATACAGTTGTGGCATAGCATATCAACATACAAGACCCATCCATCTCAAAAAAAAAAATCTTCATTAATCACCAGCTCTTGTAAATCACCAAAGTTGAATGGGAAACTTTGTCACAAACAGTATTTTGATCTCAATTCAATATAGCTTTTTTTTTATATTGCAACACTTTTTGGAACAAAAGTAAGTTTTAAAATGTTACTGATTAGTTTAACTTGGAGGAGCACTTGTCTTGAACACTTTTTCAAACACTCATTCGACTACTTTTTTGGAACATTTCTTGCAATACTTTCAATACTATGCCATTTGTCTCAAACACTCATAAAAAATCAAACAAAAGTGCATTTTTTTTAAATATCTGAAGTTCAACAACACAAAAAAGCTGACTTAGTGTCAAACAACCAACCTCGTTACTGTTGATCGCAGTAGGTACCAAGCCAGTATCTTCTGGAAAAGCATTGTGATGTTGCACTTCATTGGTAGTAAGTTCAGCCAGTGATAAGCCATTTTCAGCATATGGTAGAGTTGGTTCGACCGCGCTAAATTTTGAAGTACAGTCTAGCTCGTATGCACTAGTCACAACAGGGCTGCTTTGGCAATCAGTATGAGCATCAATTGCAGGAGATGCACCAGAAAAATCTGTCTTACCACATGCTTCCTTGTCTTCCCAATCTTCCTCCTTAAAAACTCCATATTGTGAGCCATTCTTTGGGCCAGATCCTGGCTTCTCAAAAACTTTGCATATGACATATGTGTCCTGTAGAACCAATACATTTTTAGATTATTACTGCAGAAACATTTAGTGAAAAACTGAAGTTTCAATCATAAATCGTGGCAGAAACGTGAATGAATAAATACTTCTGTTGGGAACCTAAAATAACTATTATGCTTTGAAAACTACTCTTTGTTTGGGCTTGTTTCACAAAATATTCAGCCCCAACAAATCAGAAACTCTTAAATCCCTCATAAAGGACCCTGCATGCTGAATAGATTTTAAGTAGCGACAGTTCCCATTCTTGTGTTTAGTAGATGAAACTTTTATAAATCTAAGACTACGCACTTAACACTTTTTTATTAAAAAAAAAAACTCAAAATGCATAAATGTCACACACCTTACATGTCTTGATTTCCCAATAAAACTCTATCTTACACTTTTCACAAACACAACTTATATGGTTTACAAAAACACAGGATTATTATACTTCCACTGATAGAGGAAGGGATAGTGCTGACAATAGATAATTTAATGAAGTATATGCATGAAGGAGGGGGGGCGGGATTAATTAAATGAAGTGGTAACCTCATAAGAACAGGAGGGAATATATTAGCGGGAGACCGGACTGATGAGAGTAGGAAAGAATTCAGTTATAATTGGGTGGGCCTGGGCTAGAGATAGAAAGTTCATGTAATCTCTTTAGATCTATCTTTCTGTTTACTACTTTACTTCTGTAATTCATTAATTCCTTAAGAACTCTGATATTTCATCTCATTTCACGTCATTAATATTCAAAACTGTTCTAGAATATTGGTGTAAAACTATATCAGAGTACACAGAAAATGTACTATATCCATATTAAATAAGTAAAACTTCTCTATCTTGTTTTGACTAAGAGAAATCCTAGTTGGACAGCCATATTATTATACAACAATAAACAACCCCTAATCACAAATTAGTGAGGTTGGCTACTAGGCTACACACGTAGATGGGCCATCAAGAATTAGACACTGTTGCATATGTTTTAGAAACATGTAATTACCCACTAGAATTTATCAGTACAATTCAGAATACATGGAGTAGTAATGTAACTTTGGATTTATCAGTACATATGTTTTAGGCCCATTTAATGCTCAGAGATAATAATTCTATTTTGTGGGGGTACATGCAAGTATGCAACCCAATTGAATAGAGAAGACAGTAGAATCTACCTGCACAATTCCTGAATCTACCAAATTCGGGTCCTCCATTCGGTACTCATGTATAACCCAATCAGTTCTTTTACCTTTGGGTGGATGGCCCTGGTAAAACACCAAAGTTTTAATCATCCCAACAGTTCTTCCTTCATATTTAACAATTCTATCATTTCCTGTTGCTTTCCAGTAACCAGTGTCTGTTGCGCGCTTTGTTCGTGACCCAATTGCATACTTCTTCTCTCTTTGGCAATAGAAATACCACTCCCGGTCCTTACTTTTTAATGTAGATTTATCTGAAGAAAAAGAAACTGCAAAAGTCATAAAAATGCAAACCCCGACAACTGAAAAAGACGCTGGATATAACACTTATAAGAGTGTAGAAATTTGAATTAACAAAAGATTGAGATAATGATATATATTACCTGGAAGATCCCATGGGGAGTAATGACAAATATTGAGTTCTGTTATAGCACGCTTCGCTTCAGCAGGAAATTTTCTTCCGGTCACCTTCCCTTTTAGATAGTACATTATCAGCTCTACATCCGTTGGATGAAAGCGAAACCCTGGAGCAAGGGTTGAGCTTGCCATTGAGTGAAGGCGGTAGAAGATTGCAGTATTGTAAAACTGAATTCCACCCACCCCCACCCACCCTCTGACCCTCAGAAAAGCAAATACCAACTGACAACGGTATTGTCTGAGATCCAGAAAACAAAGCGAAAAAAAAAATGATTGCACTAAGTTTGATAACTACTAGTGAACGGAAAAACTAGTTAAACAGCTTTCTCTATCTCCCTCACCTAGAAACCTCCCACGGACAATTCAAACAGCAAATGTCAAGTCCAATGTCGAAATAAAATCTTCAAAGCACACCACAACTTTCCTTGGTTCATGAAAAAGAATGCACCCCGAACAAAGAATTGATGCTTCTTCCCACGGAAATCAAAAGACATTTGTCGTACAACACCGACCTATTGTTTTCACAAGATCATTAGCCTCCATTATAGCAACATAAAACAGTCCATTTAGATATTTATATAAAACATCTTCTGCACATTCAAACGCAGCTTAAATGCAGACAGACCAAACATTAAAATCAAATAGAATCAAACAACATTCCATACTTTTAGTTTTGCAGACCTCGAGAACGATCAAAACATCATAAGATAATAAAGGCGAATGGTTTTTACATGAACTGAACAAACTGCAAATTGGCACACAAAAGATTCTAGAAATGGAAGACAATGATTAGGGAAGCCACACAGAGAGCAGGATCAGATGATTTGAACTAAGGTCAGATTTCAAAAGTTATATTCAAAAACTGGACCCCGATCCGATTCATGAAGAGGCTAAGAGTAGGGAAGATATAACACGACACCGAATCATGAACGCTCAAAAGCTTCAGCTTACCGGAAAGAGGAAGACGGGTGCGGGAGGGTGGAAGGGATGAGACGTGGAGCGGCTGATGATCACACAGAGGAGACGCTGGTGAGTTCAAAAACGAAACCCTAACTCTGCAGAGAGTGGGGGGTTTATATAGCGAGCTGCAGTTTTATGCTAAAAAGAAGAAACTCTAATAGCCCATGTGGGCTGCGGCTAAGAAACTATTCTGTTCGTCTTAATCTTATTACCTATTGTTTATTCATATTTTATTCAGATCAGATCAGATCAAAAAAATTCAGATCAGATCAGAAAGATTCAGATCAGATTAGATCAGAATCATTCAGATCAGATCAGAATCATTCAGATCAGATCAGAAACATTCAGATCAGATCAGGAACATTCAGATCAGATCAGGAACATTCAGACCAGATCAGAAAAGTTCAGACATGATTTATCCCTTTTATTATAATAATAGTTATAATAATATTAATAATAATTATAATTATTATTATTATTATCATCATCATCATTATTACTATGATTACTATGATTAATATTATTATTATTATTATGATATTTATTATTATCATGATTATTATTCTTATTACTATTATGGTTGTTGTTATTGTTATTAGTATTTTTTTGTTATTATTATATTACACGGAGTAATTACAATTAAAATTATAGAAATAAATATTATAATTATAATTAAAATTATAATTATAGAAATAATTATAACTAAAAATATAATTACAATTATAATTATAGCTTTTTTTTGTTTACTCTAGGAGACGTCTGGGGGAGGGGGTCTGGGGGGCCCGAAGTAAACTAGGTTGAAACTCACCCCATTGAGTTTCGAACCCGAGACCTCTCATAACGGAGAGTGAGTCGGCGACCAACTGAGCTGGACCGCTTCCTCTAATTTGGAGAAGAATCTGCAACATTGATCAGCAAGCTATAGAATTGTGTTCTATTAATGAATCTGGGCATATAGTATGGGATCCTGGCAAAGAGGGGACTTTTACACTTGCCTCTGCCTATAATGAATCAAGAGAGGCCTTTCTTCCTACATTTACAAACAAGCATATTTGGCATAAAAATCAACCTATGCAGATCAAGGTTTTCACTTGGAGGTTGATAAATAACTGTTTGCCCATTACTGAATCTATGCTAAGGTTTCAGTTTGTTCCTAGGCCATCCATTTGTCCTCTTTGCAGAAATCACTATGATACTCCAAATCACTTATTCTATCAGTGTCATTTTTCAAAGAGAATTTGGAATTATTTCATGAGTATATTTCAAATTCCTATTCCCAGGGAGGAGTGTTCATGTATTTATTCTTTGGTGGCTAGAAGCAGGGTCTAAGAAACTGACTGATATCTTTAAACACCTTATGCCAGGGGTTGTTTGCTGGCATATCTGGAAGGTTTACTCCTCATTTATTTGGGGAGCACAAGAGATTTCATCTACAGATTACATCATTAATCAGATTAAACATTATACACAGAAATGGTCATCAAATCTTGGCAGATTCAGACGCAAAGGAGTTGATAGTTTCCTGAGAGATGATGGTCTGATTTTCCCTAATTTCAAGTTCAAGGTTGCAGGACCAAGACTAATCAGATGGGTTAAGCCTAATAAGGAATATAAACTTAATATCGATGCATCTTATATACCTGGTATTGCAACAGGAGGTGCAATGCTTCGTAATAAGGGTGGGAAGATGATTTGAGGAATAAATTTTCCTTTGCAGGCCAACTCAAGTGAAGAAGCAGAACTAAGGGCGATAATTTGTGCTGTCCGTTGGGCGATTGAGAAGGGCCATGTTGATTTCCAGGTAGAAAGTGATGCTTGCTCCCCTCTGATGAGATTATCTGAAGAACCAACTGGGAAATGGGATTGCCTAATTCGTTCTTTTAGGACATGTTTACTTCAATTCTTAATAAACGGTGTTTAATAAACCCTGCGTTAGTAAGACGTTGCATAGTAAGCGGTGTTTAGTAAGCCAGCGTTTACTTCATAATGAATTCGGGCCTAATTAATCTAAAGTCCGTCTCCTTCACTGGGCTTAAAACATGGCTTACATTTAAAACCCTATGTAGCAGTTGTATCACCGGGCAGTTCAAGCCGATTATGTAGAGCAGAGCATCGACTACCATCAAACATCTTCCTCCATTTTTCTGTCTCCATCTATTAAGATACATAAAGGTAATATATTCTTCTTCACTCCGCTGCATCTATCTTCTCCATTCGAAATCTAACCCACACAATAAACGTAAATAGAGGAGATGGCAGAACTTTAATGGAGCTTCGTTGGGTTAGTCACCTTGTATCTGAGAGAGGAGGGTTTTTCTCACGTTTGAGAGAAAGTTTAGAGGAGATGGCAGAACTTTCAGTTTTCGGTGTCGTATGAAAGGAATGGATGAGGACGGCCGAGTCTGAGCTAAGGTATGGTTGTAATAAAAATTCCACAACCCTATAAAATAAGGGTACGATGGTCAATATGAAATGGCTTAAGTCGCCGACTAAATAAAACATGGGGGGAGCTGCGTTTCGTAAGCGACGTTTAACAGGTTGAATTGCTTAGTAAGCGTTCATTTACCCAGTCTAGAACGTTTACTTCAGGCTTCTTAGTAAACTAACGGTGATTTAAACAGCCAAGTAAACAGGTCCTTAGGAATGAAATTGCCGGTAAGGGGCTGGTCTTTAGTCACTCTCTGCGTGAAGGAAATTATGCGGCCCATGCCTTGGCAGGCCGAGAATTGAGGACGGGCCAACTAAATTTTTTTGATTCGGTTGATAACCTTCCAGATCGGGTCCGTAAATACTATATTGCTGATTTGCTGGGATTTCCTTATTTTAGAAATTAAATTACTCCTTTTATTAGTCAAATTGTACTTCATCCTTATTAATAAAATCTGGTAAATGCTCCCCGGCATTTATCCCACTGATTTTGGTGGTTGGCCTTGCGGGGTAAAAAAAATTATACTATTATAATTATTATAATTATAATTATAATTTTTTTATAATTATGATTATAATTATAATTAAATTTAAATTATATATGTGTAATTACATTTCTAATTATTATAATAAAAAATAAAATTATAATTATAATTTTAGAAATATTTAAATCAGACCAGATCAGAAGGATTCAGATCAGATCAGAAGGATTCAGATCAGATCAGAAACATTCAGATCAGATCAAGAAAATTAAGATCAGATCAGGAACATTCAGATCAGATCAGGAACATTCAGATCAGATCAGGAACATTCAGATCAGATCAAGTACATTCAGATCAGATCAGACCAGATCAGAAAGATTCAGATCAGATCAGAAACATTCAGATCAGATCAGATCAGATTAGAACTTAAAAAATTCAGATCAGAAACATTCAGATCAGGTGAAGAGAACAGCTTCTAAGTGGTCTATGAGCAAACATCAATCCAGCTTAAGGTACACATTTTTCATACACACACCTACGCACTCATGTTTGTGAAGAGTATTTTTTTGTCTGTATAAAGACATAACACATTTTCAAATACGTTATGTTTGTATACAGACAAAAAAATACTCTTCACAAAAATGAGTGTGTAGGTGTGTATATGAAATATGTGTACCAATAGATTTTTTGGAGCAAACATATACACACCAGTGTAGGCGTGTCGTGGGTCGATCGGGTTCGAAGTGTCTTCGATGTCCGTTATTACATCAAGTGTCTATTTACAAATGTTTTTTTAAGAAATAGACTTAAATTGACATCACATCATTCACATAGTAGGTACTCTGATAAAAAGATTCCTGACAATCGCCGACCCATAAACTAGACTCAAAATTAATCACCTCCAAAGAAGCAATATATTATCCTCCGTATCGCATTGGTTGCAACATTGCAAATTGCACACTATTCATGTACTCTACTTTGACTACATTTTATTTGTGAATTATTTTTTCTTTGAAAAAGATCGTTGAATTCGTCTCATTGTAAAGTTTCATAATCTGATTTTTAATTATTTTTTACTAATACAATATTAAATATAATGACGGTCAAAGTTGTGTATCGGCAAACGTGAAAAAGTGAATGTTGCAACTAAAAAAGAACGGAAGAAATAATTCGTTGATCCATTAATGGGCACAAATGAGCCAAAGACGCTTACTGCAATTCTCCCATCACCCCTATCCAAATCAATCGTCTTACAAAAAGGAACAGTAACAACGAAACAAAACATAATGTATAATAAATTGTCCCTAAAAAAATAAAGCAAATAATCTCGAAACTCTGTCTGAGCCTGCCGAACCACGTGAGCACCAGTAGCTTCCTCATCCATTCTGACTGTATCTGCTTCGGCGGACTTACAGATCGAAGCCCGCCACCTCCCCATTTTTTGTCTCATCCAGCGCCATGTTATCCTCTTCATTGTTTTCTCCCCCTGGGTTTCCCAAATCCTTCTTCTCTTTTGTTCCCCTAAAGCTTCCTGTTTTGTTTCCGCTCCCACTTCTTTGGAAACATTACCACCTTTGTTAACCGGAACAAATCTATTAAACATGGTTACGCCAATCTTTATATCTTTTTTCTCTCAAAATTTCCTATTAAATCTAATCCATTGCTCTATTGGCCTTTCATCAATCATAAATGATCCAAATTTAGGGACATGGTTAACAATTTTCAGATGAAAGAACGAAAACCCCAGTTGCAGGCCTGGAGCCCCAAGTTGATGACACTTCTTCCCTGCAAAATACCAATCGTTTAAATAAAGGAAACACTCCCTACGTGCCACCTTGTTCTACATTTATAATGTTTTAGCATCTTATGTTGTTAAAAGTATATATTGTAGAGCAGCACATTAAAACTAATTATATGACACTCGCTTACTGTTTTTTATTATTTTCAAGAGAGGGGCACTTTATACTTCAGTCTCAAATGGCTGAGAAGACTTTATAAAGGATAAAGTGGATATAGTTACAAGCCAGTTGACAATGCAAAGTAACATTTGAAGCAATACATTCATACTTCATAATGTTGGGTGTGTTTCGGAAAATAAAGAAAATTAATTAAAATAAATTAATTAAATAAAATGACGAAAGAAAACAAGAAAAGAGATGGAGCAGAATTTGTCAAAGCTCGTGCTACGCACGTTGTCCTTAAAACGTATTTGTTGCCTCCCACGGTGCTAGGAGCGTTGCAACAATAGTTTCCCAGGATACGATGACAACGAACTAATGTTTGAGCACACAAACAAGAGTTGCAACGAACGAGAACAAAGACTGAACACAAAGGGAATTTTCCGAATGCTGGAGGGTGTTTTTGAGGTGCAAAACGTGAATGGAGTGTCTAAATTCGTGTAAGAACGTGTGTTGTTGCAAACCACCTGCCAGCCATTATATAGGAGGATTTGTTGTATGAAAATAGTGAATTACTGGACCTGAACGTTGGACATCAATGACCAGTCCGTTGGGCATTGAATTGTCCATTTAACACTGCATTAAAAGATATAAACGTTGGACATTTATTTCTGTAACGGTTCAGAAGCCATCAGAAGACCCCTACGTAGTTCTGCCCGAAGGTCATCAGAACTGGAGCACCTCTGGTCGTGGCCTTCTGCCCGGAGCAATTCTGTAAACTTGGGAAAAATTATACGTTCCGGGAAGAAAACAAAAATTAATCGTATCTCTTGAGAGATAGATTTTTGGACGACATTCGTGTCCGCAGGTCGCCTGCAAGTCACGGTTTTTCTTCTCCGAATTCGGGATTTGATTTGCACCCCCCCCCCCCTGCGCGCGTGGAGAGAGCCTTTACCCTTAAGAATCTTAACTCCATAAGGGGGGAGTCCCTTTATAAAGGGTAGCAAATCCCTTGGGTTTTCCGGTGTGGAAAATTAACACACTAGAAACCCATCCTTTTTCCCAGTTTTTCCATTCTAACGGGTAAACTTCGAAAAGCGATTTCTCATTCACCCGTTATCCGTTTTGAGCGTACCATATATCGAATTGTAGCCCTTAACAAGGACAATCCGAAACCACTTTGACCTGACCCAAATCGAAAGTGGACCCCACTCAAAAAATTGCCCCAAAATAGCTATTTAATGCATTTTTTCACACATTTTTCCAACAATCCCCCACATGAATGAAAATTGATTTTCGAGACTTACAAAAAGACACGAAGATAGGAGGACACGTTGTGTTCACCGGATGATCCTTGTATATGGAGAGGTAGGTTTAATCCTTTGAACCTTCCGCCGTAAAGACACGTTTATTTACTGGTTGTCTAGTAGACTCGATGTCTTTGAACTATACCGCCGTCGTGTAAACATTGACTTATCTTTACACAAGAACCTTCCAACTTTGTTCCGTTCTCATGGGTGTGCCCGTTTTGGCCATGGGTCACCGTCCTGGTTCTGCAAGAGTTTCTAAAGAACTGAGCCATTACAGTTCTCCTTTGAAGCGGCCCTCTTCTCTCTCACATAGGTGATTCTTTCATGAGTATCCCGCATACTCTTCCAATGTTATCGAGTAGATCAACATTTTAGAATCATTAAAGCAAACGTTTTTGCTAACCTCGTGCGGGAGTCACTGTTTCAACGAGGAGTGGGTAGGAGTCCGGGACCCCCACAGTGACCATCCTTCGCTCTATAATTTAGTTGTCCCATTTGAACCTAGGGCCAACTAGGTTGGGTATCCACTATAGAACTTTTCAATTCACGGGCTTTAATCCCATTCCTCGTGTCAACTTCTCCAACAATTCTCTATCCAATGCCTTGGTTAGCGGATCCGCTATGTTATCCTTTGACTTCACGTAGTCAACAGTGATAACACCCGTTGTGAGAAGTTGTTTAATGGTATTATGTCTACGACGGACGTGTCTAGATTTACCATTATAGAGATTGCTCTGTGCCCTTCCAATTGCCGCTTGACAATCGCAATGTATGCATATTGGAGGGACAGACTTCTCCCAACTTGGAATATCCTCGAGAAAATGGTGTAGCCATTCAGCCTCTTCAGTGCACTTATCCAAGGCTATTAGCTCAGATTCCATCGTGGATCTAGCTATCAACGTTTGTTTCGAGGATTTCCACGACACGGCTGCACCTCCCAAAGTGAAAACATATCCACTCGTGGACTTTGAGTCCTTAATGTCAGATATCCAACTAGCGTCGCTATACCCTTCAAGTACAGCTGGATATCTTCCGTAGTGCAGTCCAAGGTTTTGGGTTTTCCGTAAATATCTCAAAACCCTTACTATTGCCTTCCAGTGTTCATCATCGGGGTTGCTAGTATATCTACTAAGCTTACTAACCACAAAGGCAATATCAGGCCTGGTACAACTCATTAGATACATTAAACTGCCAATAATCCTAGCGTATTCTACTTGAGAAATACACTCTCCACGATTTTTGGTCAGGTGTACGTTTTTATCTAATGGCATCCTTGCCTCTTGATAATCATCCCT